CTTTTTTTGGTTGGAGGGGGTTGGGATAAAGAAGGAAGGAGCATATTCTTACACATTGGTTTAAAAATATTAATGAATACTACAAAGACCAAAGTACTTATCCAGTGGCTATTGAGCAGACTCGGGTTCATGGTGACCCCATTGTGTCAGAGTTGAGTTGTGCCTCATAGTGGTTTCAGTGGCTAATTGTTCTGAATATTCTTTTGAGGAGCCTCAAACCTCCAGTCCTTTGGTTGACAGGTAAGAGTGCTAATTATTTGTACCACCAGGGATTTCAACGCTATTCAACAAGCTCATAAACCTACGTAGGAGAAGGACCTTTAAAGAAACACGAATCACATGATAATGGAGTAACAGCACTAGTGTTCAAGGACATAGTCCTCAGACAGACAGGGTAGGGCACTCTAGAAAGAGGGGATATAGACAGGAGAGGCGTCTAGGTGTGAAGAAGCCTCCAGGAACTGAACGCACATCATTTAATTTGGCCAAACCGAGTCCATGGTGAGGACATTGGAACGAGAGGAGATGAGAACATGAGACAAACGTGTTATGTTGTTTGGTCCCAATGAGTTGGTTCTGGCTCAGTGACCGTATGCCGACTGAATGAAACACTGCCTGGCTTGTGCTACCCTCATAATTATTGTTATGCTTGAGCTAATTGTTGTACCCCTGTTATCACTTCATCTCTCTGATCGTCTTTGTTTGTCCAGACCCTCTACCAAGTATGATGTTCACCAGGGACTGATCCTTCCTGATAACATGTCCAAAGTAATGAGACAAAGTCTCTCCATTCTCAACTGCATGGCATGTTCTAGCTGGACTTACTTGTTTCATGACAGCGTTGCTCATTCTCCTAGCAGTCCCAGGATGTATTCAATATTCTTTGCCAACCTCATAACTCAAAGGCATCAAATCTTCAGTCTTCGTTATCCAGCTTTTGTATGCAAATGAGGTGATTGAAAATACTATCGCATGGGTCAGGTGCACCTTATTCCTCAAGGCGACAGCTTTCCTTTTAACCCTTCAAAGAAGTATTTTGCAGCAGACTCGCTCAGAGTAGGATATCATTTCATTTCTTGCCTGCTGCTTCAATGAACATAGTATAGCGTCTGAGGTCTTAAAGGCTTGAAGGTAATCAAGCGGCCATCAAGCTCAGAAGCAACAAAGCCCACATGGAAGAAGCACACCAGCCTATGCAACCACAAGGTGTCGAAGGGATCAGGTGTAAGGCATCATCAGAACAAAAAAAATCTTACCATAGTGAATGATGGGGGGAGTGCGAAGTGGAGATCCAAAGCCCATTAGTAGGCCACCGGAGATCCCCTTGCAGAGGGGTCTCGGGGAGGAGATGAGCCAGTCAGGGTGCGATGTAACAATGATGAGAAATACAACTTTCCTCTAGTTCCTAAATGTTTCCTCCCCGCTCCCACTACCATGACTCGAATTTGATCTTGCAAGTCTGGCTAGACCAGAGGAGGTACACTGGTACAGATAGGAACTGAAAATACAGGGAATCCAGGACGGATGAGCCCTATAGGACCAGTGGTGTGAGTGGCAAAACAGGGAGGGTAAAGGGAGAATAGGTAGGAAAGAGGGAACCAATTACATGGAACTGTGTGTGACCTCCTCCCTGGGGGACAGACAACCGAAAAGTGGGTGAAGGGAGACGTCAGACAGGGCAAGATATGACAAAATACGCATTTATAAACTATCAAGGGCCATTGAGGGAGTGGGGAGCGGGGAGGGAGTGGAAAAATGAGGACCTAATGTTGGGGGTTTAAGTGGAGAGAAAATGTTTTGAGAAACGATGTACAAATGCGCTTTACACAATTGATGTGTGTATGGATTGGGATAACAGTTGTAAGAGCCCCTAATAAAATGTTAAAAAAATAAATAAATAAAATAAAATAAAATGAAAATGTTGCCACCTCCCATTTTTTTTTCCATTTATCACGTCTTGTTTATCGGTCCAGTTGTGAAGATTTTTAGTTTCTTTGCATTGCAGCAAAGGGCAAGGATTGGGGCCAATCTGTAAAGAGATCTGCATGCTACAGAAGGTTTTCCTTTGGGAGACAGGTAGTCACGTGTCCTGTTGAGTGCTTAGAATGTCCATAAAGAAGCAGAAAGACTGGGCAAGAAGATGCAGGTGCAGTGAGTGCTCTGATAAAGAACAGAAAACCCGTATCATGCTGGGCATCCTGAGGGCAGGCGTCTCTGAGTGCACCAGCTACTAATCCTGCATCTCTGCTTCCACTAGTCTTTTGTTCATCTTTTTAATGTACTGAGAGAGCCCGGCAGACAGACCTCACACTCCATAGGTGTTCACACTGGCACCTAATCATACTTGGGTCAGTGTTTGCACAGTGCTCTTCAAATGCTCTGATGGCCATTCGTCCTGCTTTGTTGAAGACAGTCAGACTGTGTAGGAAAATGTATTAACTCAAAAGTGGCCTGCTTTTGATGCTGAATTGTATGGTCACATGTTCACTGGAGTCCCTGGGTGGTACAAACAGTTAAAAAGCAACGAGGTTCAAGTCCACGAAGAAGCATCGCAGAAGAAAGGCCAGGCAGTGTATTTCCAAACACCCAGTCATCGAAAGCGTTATAAAGAGCAGTTTTCCTTTTCTGACACACACGGAGTCTGAGTTGAGTGATGGCAACGAACTGGCAAACCTACCCTTGGGTCACCTTCTCTGGAAGGGATCTCGGTGGGTTCTGGATAGTGGTGAGAATGGAAAGAAATCATGGGCCTGATGCTTGCCTTCACCAGCTCGTGTCTTCCACCCTAAAATTATTCCCCCACGGAAAGTGAAAAGAGCTCTGGAATGAGACTCTTGGAAACTCACTAGATGCTCTCCCCAGCTCTCTTCCCAAACAAGCTGCGCCGTGCCTGGCAAGATGCCCACCTGTCTGGGCCTGAGAGTCCTTTTCTGTGAAGCTAGAGAATTCAGCCAGATGGCTTCTAAGATCTTTCCCAGCTCTAGGTAACTCCCAAAGGGGTTTCCGGAAGTCAACAATAAAGAGCAGCTCCCAGGCACTCCCACGTTCTCCTGAGAATCAGCCAGCCACGCTCTGGGCGGAACCCACCTCTCTGCCTTACTCTCACCTCTGCTCTAGGGTGTGCCCACCTTTACAGGCTCATTACACGCAACAGACTCTGAAAGCTGGTCCAGAGCAGCACGAAGACCCGTTTGAGGCAGCAGCTAATTGCTAGCAGTTAGAGGTGCCATTTCTAACAACTCACACAGTAGGTGGGCTGGAAGTCCAGGGATGGGGCGGGTGTGGGTGTGGGGGTGTTAGGATTGGAAAGCCTCACAGGCCAAACAGGATAGTAAGGAAACGAAAAACAGTAAAACGGGCATAAGCCTCTTATCTAGGCTATTTGTTTTGCTTTTACCTTGATCTCCTCTAGCCAGCCCTTCCGGGGCGCAGGGAATTGTCTCTGTACTTCGACGGGTTGGGAAGGTCCACAACCCATGCTATACGCAGCACGTGGTGTCTCTTGGCCCCGTTCTCCCGTGTGTCCAAGTGCTGCGGCGGTCCTGCGCCCCTGCCTCCTGCCCAGGGCTACTGCTCCGGGCGCCCGTGCTTCTGGCCCCTCCCACCTTCCACACGCACAGGCTCGGCAGGAGGCATCGCTTGGGCATTGGGGCAGTTGCTGGCAACTGTTGCCACAATAAACCGTGTCACGGCGACCTGGGATGCCACCAAGTTTTTGTAACTGGAAACTCCACAGTTGGAGGCTTGGAAGCCACAACTGGGGTGCACATTTCAGCCTTCTTCAGCAAAGGAAAGGGAGAGTAAGACTTCCTGGCTGGGTTCTTTTAAAAACTGCCTCCTGCCGGGGACTTCCAAAGCTCCCTTTCTGAGGCAGGTGGGCCACATGGCCCCAACTCCAGGGCCTGGCCAGACGCTCCATCAGTGCGTGTCCCCACAACCCTGAAAAACAACAACAAAAACCCAACGCAACTAAGAAGTCTTAGATATGAAAGAATCCCAGATCCAAAGGAACCAACAAACTGTTACACAAAGCTGATTGTTTTCTTCGTAGCATTTAATCACAGGCTGGCTACTCCCCTCTCCCGTTGAACTGCTTGGATCTGTTGCTTGTCGTTTCTCACTTGTATTTGAGGAAAAAGGAAAATTGAGGGCGGTAAAACAGAGGAGATAAAAATTCATATCAAAGCATTACAATGACCCAAACAAGACTAAATTAGTGTTTGAGAGAACAGCTGTGAAGGTACAGATTCATGGGCATTGCTGTAAGCGGAATGAAACAGGACCAGTAGAAACCGGGAATCCTCAACCAGAATGCTGCACCATCCAGGAGAGCTGTGCCGTGTTCCTTAGGGACTGCCAGCGAAAGTGAGAGTGCACTGTGACAGGCCGCTTTTGAGTTTCTTCTTTTAGGGCAACCTGTGAGCAGATGATTACCAGGACAAAGCGCTTGCCACAGGGATCTTCTAGAATGGGGGCTCCAAAAACTTTTGAGGTGGAAGAGCCAATCCTGTCCCTCACAATAACTTAAAGACTATTTGAGAGCCATGACTATATTTTAACAAAGAAATGAAATCGCAATTGTCTAAATAACATCCTTTACAAGTTTTCAATTGTAGTTCAGGGCCACATGCACCAACCATGAGAGTAGGGCACGTGAGTCTCAGTTTGCCAGCCCCTGTTCTCGAACATTTGATTCCTGTAGCGGCGAAGTCGTAAACATGCCCCTTTTCCAGGGGTGTGTTGGAGTTGGCCCCACAGGCTCAAGAAAGTCTATTGTTAACATTTTCGGGACTATTTGGACTTAGTTATTAAACGTGGCCCTCCTTAAAATGTAAGTTCCATGAACTTACAATGAAATGAATCATGTTAACTATGAAGTGCTCAGAACTTAGCACTTCTCAAAATTATATGATTCCATTTACCATGATATATTCTCTGGCATTTTATTTCTGTTTTTTGTATCTGACTGGGGGATACCATCTACTTAAGATTCTCCGAGCATCTCTCTCCACTTCCCCTTCAGTGACACCACTCTGCTGGCAAAACCTAGGCCAGAGGTTGCTGTGTAGATATTTTGTTGTTGTGATTCACATTGAAGTCAGCTGACCTAAGTAAAACTCTATAGCATAAGCTCCCAAACTTATTTGGCCTACCACTCCCTTTTTCAGGAAAAAGCTCTGGTGCTATAATAGCCCATAAGCCAGGATAGTGTGCGCATTGCCCAACCTCCATGCCTGGATTGTCCCAGTGCCCCCAGAAGGTTGTATCCCCCATGTCAGGAAACACTGTTCCAGAGCATGGGTAGAGGGGTGGGCCTCATCCAATCAGTCAAAAAGCATACAGACAAAAACAGGTTTCCTGGGGGAGAAGTATTCTCCCTTAAGACTGTCGATAGGCAGCCTGGGTGGCTACCAATTTTAGAAACAGGACTCCTAGAGATTCCAGCCTGTCACAGGATCCATGGGTTTGCCAAGAGCCCTGATGGCATAGTTGGTTATGTGTTGGGCTGTAACTGAAAGGTCAGCAGTTCAAAACCACCAGCAGCTACTCAGGAGAAAGACAAGCTTTCTACTCCTGTAAAGACTTATAGTCTTGGAAACCAACAAGGGCAGTTCTACCCACCCTAGAGGGTGGCTGTATTAGTCTAGGTACTTTGGAGAAACAAATCCACGGCGACTCACGTATAAGAGAGAGTTTTATGTAAAGAAAAGGTGCATCACGAAAACATCCCAACCCAATGCTGCCCAAGCCCACAAGTCCAACATTAACCCTTTAACCCAACACCAGTCCACAAAGTCCTCCACCTCACAAAACAGAGGCAATGATGCCGACTGCAGGAGGAAAGCTGAGTCCGTGAACGTGTAAGCATCTCAGCACTGGCAAGGGTCTCCACACGGCTGCTCCAGCACCCAGGGCTGCATCGGGATAGATCCATGCGGCTTCTCCTTGGGGATGTCTTGGAGGAAGTCCATCTTGCAAGCTGAAGCAGGGAACTGCTAAGGCAGCTGCACCCGGTACAACCACCACAAAACAAGAGACCCGAGAACTAGAAAGGCGAGGCTTCACCACCCATTTATCCCTCCGCCTTTCAACCAGCACCACATGTTTCAACCAGCCGGCCAGGCTGGCACAATTAACTAACTCAGTGGCTATGAGTCAGAAGCAACTCAAAAGCAGTGATAAGAAGATAGTCACAGGAGCAATTCCTAAACACACACACACACACACACACACACACACACAGGTATCAAAATGTTGGTGGAGAAATGGAATGAAAAGTAAAGCAATTTTTCCATTAAGTCATTTTGTGGTACATTGAACTGTATACCCCCCAAGTTCATTGTAAATCTGCATCTTTGGGCCCATGGGAATAATCTCACCTAGGATTAGAACGTGCTTGATATGTAAATGAGGCTCTATCAGTGGACAGCGGTTCTCAACCTGTGGGTCGTGACCCCTTTGGGGGTCAAATGACCCTTTCACAGGGGTCGCCTGATTCATCACAGTAACAAAATGACAGTTATAAAGTAGTAATGAAAATAATTTTAGGGTTGGGGGGGGTCACCACAACATGAGGAACTGTATTAAAGGGTCACGGCATTAGGAAGGTTGAGAACCACTGGTGTAGGGTGTGTTTTGCGATAGCAAGAGATCACTTGTGCCCAGAAGCAAGCAAGAAGAGCTGGGAAGAGTGATGGCACGTGGAGCTCATCAGGGGATGCATCTGTAAAACGACCCTCTCTACAGGGCAGAAAGAGAGAGAAAGCCATCCCCTGGAGCCAGAGCCCTGATTTCAGATTGATAACCTCCTAACTCGTGAGACAATACATTTCTGTTCATTACAACCACCCCCTTGTGATGATGATAAACGAGCAGCACTGAGAAACTAACATACCATCCACAGTTAGTATCTTATTGCTTCTGTTTCTCTGGAGAATTCTGATTGGTAGCTTAAAAAGGAGCCATGGTGGGAATATGTGCATTATGAAAATCAGCAAATTAGAGGATTTTTTTTTCTTTTACTCTTTTTCAGAGAGCCAGCTATTAAAAATCCACCAGCACAACCCTGTCTTTCCCCTTCAGTTCAGGAAAATTGGGGTATGGCGTGGCTCCCTCCTCCTTCTCCTGTGGAAGGCTGCGTTTGCCTCTTGTGTGCCTCTGCTCTGGAGCTGCGACTGTATGCCAGGGCTCCGTGCTGTGGGTTCTTCATTACCCTGCTTGGGTCTTGGATCGCCTGTTTCCTCCTTGACAACTGCTCAACAGTCAAAGCTTTTAATTCTCTTCAAAGTGGGGCCCTTGCTTGTGCATTTGAAAGTTTGATTAAGAGATTTGATTTTTTTTCTTCAGTCTGAACAATCTCAAGAATTACAGGGCAAAGAAGGCGGTTCTCATTGGGTCCCCCGTATTTTTCTTAAGCCCCAGATTCACCAAAGAGTGTTGAAGATGCTGTAAAGATTCAGACGCACTTCCATCAACTCAATTCTGACTCACGATGCCTCTCAAACTTCAATGTGCACCTGGACATCAAACTTCGATGTGCACCTGGAGATGTAGTTGGCATGCAGATCGTGATTTGGTAGATTTTTGTGTCCCCCAAATGACACATTTCTAACAAGCTCCCTGATGGGTGATGCTGTCACTGTTGGTTGCCTCTTTGATACAAGGCAGAGAATATTTTTGACTATAAATCTATACTTCCAAAGGACAGCAAGTAAAAAGGAGGGAAAATGGAAAAAAGGAAAAATAAGTGAGGAGGATAATGAAAATAGTTCAGATGAAATTTATTAGGCAATACATTTGAAGGGCTGCCCTGGCAGGGTAGTGGTTTTCCCATTGGGCTGTGATCTGCAGGGTCAGCAGTTTGAAGCCACCAGCAGCTCCTTGGGAAAAAGACTGGGCTTTGTACTCTCAAACAGTTACAAGTCAGAAAACCCACAGGGTTTCAGCATTGACTCAAAGGCAGTGAGGCATATGAAGGCAAAAGAAGGTGGCTTTTTATCAGTATTTTCTCAATCTAGTAATTACTTTCATGTATAAAATTATAAGTGGGAGACCCAGAGCCATGCTACCAGCTGCCACAGAGGGGATTCTGACTTATAGCAGCCCTATATAGGGTTTCTGAGGCTGTAACTCTTTACAGGACCAGCTAGGCTAAATGTTCTCTCTTGGAGTGGGTTGATAGGTTTGAACTACCAACCAACACTTACCTGACAGCACCATCAATGCCACAACAGGCACTTGTCAATATTTCTCTGCACCAGTAGAGAGGGGACCTTGGTGAGTTACTGAGTCATCCTAAAGTCCCTCAAGTCAGGGTTTCTCCCTTCCCTCTGCTCGGCTCGAAGGTTGACCTGCCTGAGACAAGAGCAAGCCAGAGAGCAGTTCTCTCTCCCTGCAGTACTTGGAAACAAAGGTACACAGGGCAGGGTCAGCCTCCTGCGACCAAAGCACACGCCCACTTCTAAGGCATCCATTTGGACTCCTAGAATCCCTGTAGGACA